TCAGTCTTTTATGTATAGCATTACATAGTGAGTAAGGTGCAATTTAAGATGGGAAAAATAGTATTTTTAACTTCTTCCAAACTGTATGTACTGATCTTTGCTAGAGGAAGGCTATCAAACCAGCCACTGTGATAAATTCTGTGTCCATGAAATACGTATCTCTTGTAAAGAGGACTAGATTTACAGTGAAATTAATTATTCACTCCATAGGAATTTATTCATCATAGTACAGTAACTCTGGTGAATAATAAAATGAACATCTCCACTATGCCTTAAGGATAAACCTGGATGACTTGTGAATAAACAGTAAAACAAGCCAAGATATCTGTTAGACTGGTCATGGGCCTGATCTGAATTCATTTACTCTCGTATAGGAACAGATTAATTTCATGAGGCTCAGGTCAGGATTAAGAGTAACTCTCTTACAAAGCAGATAAAAGCTTACTTCAGAAAGATACCTTTTCATCCAAACAAAATGCCTCCAGCTTCCTCTGGCCGCCGGGATACAGAACAGCCCCGCAAGTGTATCCCCGGGATCAGTTTCAGGCCGTTTCCTCTGCATGCATCATTGACGAGCAGCTCAAACTGCCTGGGCTTTGGCTTGTTGCATTCAGCACTCCAAATAAAAAATATCAATGGAAACCTTACCTGCACCAAAGGGACCACTTCTAGGCAAGCAATTTTGGAAAAAGGCTATTGCATGCAGAGTTTGTGGAAGCAGCTTTCCTGAAATGTCCTGCAAACCTCACGTGTTTACAATCTAGCAACACCAACATTTTGGGTTGAATTTGCCCAAATGGATTATCTCATTCTGCTTTGGTTAACTAAGACTTTACAAGTTTCACCTGCCTCCAGCACAGAGCTGAGACTGTTGTATCCCCTGTTGTGACAGCAAGAGCAAATCTGAAATAGTGCCATTCTCTGGGAAACTGGGACACTGAGGCGGCACAAGTCAATACCCCCAACCCTGCAGAGCCATGAGCACAAGTTACTACATTCTAACTGTTTTCTGAGGTTTATAAACACAGTCATTCCTAACACTGGTTGTAGTTAGATCACTTCTGCAGGTAACAGAAGAGCAAGGATTTCAATTTGCGTATTTCCATAGTACAGTGTGTCCAGGGCTCCCTGCTGACAGCAAACCATTGCCAGATGAAACATATGTGAACAAAGCTGCTTCCAAGCCACAGGCAGATTTTTCTTAGGTAGTTGTCAATTCCAGGCAAATCAGTGTTAGGAATACAAACCCAAGATTTTTCTCACAGATCTGTTGATAAGAGGCAACACTTCTGTTTCTCAGAACACAAAATCAATTGGCTGCAAAACCAATACACCCCTTAATCTGAAGCAAAATCATCCTACTTTTGAGAGGAGCTTTATGTTTTACATGATGGAAATGTCAAGACAGTATTCTGGACAAACTGTATATTTTATGTAATTTAAATGTATTGCTTCTCCAATAAATTATGGGGTACAGAATCAAAGTGTACATGATAAACGTGTGCCATAGTAAGCTACAAATTAAGGGACACAAAAATAAATTTTCGCTATAGAAGTTTTAACATGGTTAGATTCAAAAAGCTCTGATCCAATGTAAGGGCTGGATACAGTAAATCTGCTAAAAGGGCACTTGCTTTCAGTTTTATTACCAAAAACCTTTGCCTTGGTGAAAGTGCAACACCAGCATGTACATGGTATCCAACTTCTGTCAAGAGAAGTACAGACACCAGGGAAAATGAAAGCATAGTAAGAACTTGAATACACTCACACCATAAATCTTAATTACCTTTTATGCTATCTCAACATCTTTCATGTTTTTCATTCCTCAACAGCATAAATACATTCTTCAACAAGATAAATATTTAATCAGGAAAAAGAACACAAAAGGCATAAGGACTTAATTTTTAACATAAACATACCAACTATTCTCTAGTAAGACTGTTTTCACTAAAAAGTGTCTTCAGAACTCATTGTGAATAAAAGCAGCTTATGAAATAGAATAAACAAGAAAAGAGTTGCTACATTTTACAATGGAAAAGAATGGTCCTGTCATGCCTTTTAAAGAAGTTTGAGCCTACTACTTGTAGGCAAACAGCTTGGAAAAAAGTTTAAATGCCTGGACATCAGACACTCAGATGTGCCACCAACCCACAGCAGTTCAGCTCTGGAACACCCTAATCAAGCCTTCCAGTTGCTCTAAAGGAGATTAGTTACTTTTGCATTCAGGTGCAGGACACCCATCAGAGGCTCACCATGCACTTTATCACATATTACCACAGCAAAGGTACCAGAGTACTGAGAACAAGTTTTTCAGTTGTATTCCAACAATTTCAGCTGGAGTCAGCTGGATATGTGACTTTCAGCATCTCTAATAATCACACCATAAATAAGCTAGTGAAAAACTTTAGAAACAAAAATAACTCAAGTACAATGTAACTGCAATTAGAAGGAGATTGCAACTGCAAGAGAGAGAGAAGCAGCTCTTGTTTGGTGCTGCTATGGAAATGCAAGTGTAAACAGAAAGGTTCCTCAAAGTCTCAATTCCATAGTTCATTATACACACAGAAAGTCACAGACATACTAATATTTTGATTTTACAATAAGGAAGTCTTGCATCCAGCAATAAAACCTGCACACTGTTAATGGCACACAAGGACAGGAAACAGCAGGCAACAACAGTGTCAGGAGAAGAGGGCCTGGGGAATTCCCTTGGGAGACACAAGATTATGCAGAAGACCTTCCATTTGTTGAGGACATCCTAAAACAAGTGTCTCCTCAAGCCTATTGGTTTCTACATTTGTAGAAACCATTAGGATTGTAATACATGTGACCTTTGTGGGTGTGGTACTAACCCTCCCAAATGTAAATCATTTTAGTGTTGCTTTAGCTTTCACCTTACTGTCCAGAGTCTAGAATAATTTTTATCTTTTACTGATACAGTTCAAACTAGTGCTCACAAAGGAAATCCACAGGTCCTGGTATAAAACTCCTGAAACTTGCCACCCATTCCTGAGCACTGTGTGGCTCACATTTGAGAGACCCACTTTCACCTCTGTACTTCTGGGAAAAAACATAGTTACAATTGGGTCTGTTGCTTCTCACAATTAAAGTCCAAAGAAAAACTTTATTCACATTAATCATTAATGTGTTTTCCTTAGACAGCTCAAAAACACTGCTGAGCCTGCCCACTATAACCCAAAATAATAATGGTAACAGAAGTGAGGCAACCCCATCATCTCATCTTTTTATCCAACAATCTGAAGCTGGGGTTTTGAATATAAACTAAACATTTGAAGGCACTGTTCTGAAAGCAAAAATCATGCTTTTCCATTTCACATATGGCACTGTCTGTATTCAAGTAATCCATGATTGCAGAACTACAGTCAAATTAATTAGGAAGGAAGTAACAGGATTAAGGTGAAATCGTGGAAGAAATTTCTTTACATGTTGTAAACATAATAGTGTTTACACTGGTCCAGGAAGGATCTGACTGAGCCTTGAGCAGAAATTGTCTTTGTTTCAACAAGTTTAATCAATTTAACGAACTGTTTCATTTTATGTGAACTTTTCTTATCTCTTCTCACCAATCTCACAATATCATTGGCCCTCTGGGTGGAGCATTTGCTCCTCTCCAAAAATCAGTCTATTATACTGAAACCTATGTTCCAGGCTGATTCATCATTTGGCCTCCCTGTACACAAGTGTGCTAGACCCTTCTTCCTGGAGAACTTGTACAGGCTCCCACCAAGCACCTCTTTTGCCCTTCCTATTTCACAAGGCTCCCGTTACCTCCCTGGTCGTGTCCCCATATCCCCCATCTTTACCCATATGAGTATCTTGGCTTGCATATCCCTTCTGAATGCATCCAGCCAGTGACCAGGAAAATGCCCTGTCTCTGGAGGGCCAGAGTTGGCAAGGATCATGCTTTCCAATTAGCACTGGAAGCTGGTGCCTCAGATGCAGGGGCCAAAAGCAAGGAAAAAATACAGTTTGTACCAACACCACAGCCACCGAAGCCAGAAACTGTGGCAAGACGAATTCCTACTAAGGTCAAAGCATCATAGCAGTTTTAGCATCCAAATGCATGTTAGATGGAAAGAGTCTGTAATTAACATAGAGAAAATTTGATGAGAAACTATGAAACAGTTTCTCATAGAACCCATTTGATTACGAGTAATTGCTCTGAAGAACAGAATTATTATTTTAAGTCCAAACTTGGTGTCTCTGTGGCATTTCATTAAACAAACCACACTAAAATATAAATGGAAAGGCTACACTAATAAAAGCAAGTTCGTTCAGGCACTCCATTCTCAAGTCACTCTTTTGTGCCTAGGCTGCTGTTACATATCAAGTTTACAACAGCAAAAGAGAGCAAGTTAAAAGACACACCAGCAAATGACACTTAATCTCTTTCTTTCTCTGTCTAGGTTTAGGAATATGCAGCTTTTGTTAGCATGCAACTACAAAGAAAAATAAAAACTGCATTATTTTTAAAGGAAATTTTGATTTAAAAAAATCCTGAAGTTCTTATTGAAATATCTGCATCAGTAAGAAACTTGTACTCAGAGCTCATGACGTGTTGACAGGACCCTCATTTGACAGAGGGGCTTTCTGGGTGTCCCAGTACTCTCAAATAAGATTCACAACTTGGAGTTTATGTTTTAATTATTCTTGTACTTCTCTAATAAGCTATAGTATTGCTAGCTAATTACTAAACAGAAAAGCTAACCAGAAGCATTAGTCATACATCCAACTTTTCAAAAACAATCACAAGTCAGAACCTAAGCAACTAAAAAACCCATGAAATATGGAATGACATCTGTCTTCGGTTTTCAGATACTTCTCATTATTATCAGATTAACTTTTCAAGCTTTTCTCTGTAACTGGAAGGACTAGAAATTTGTTTTAAAACTGTGACAAATTACAATTTCGCTTGTTTCACAGTTTTTCAGAGTTTGCTGGATTTTGCATTCCATCTACTACAACTAAAGTGTACTCACCTTCGACTGTTTAATCTGTCACAGTGTCACTGATAGTTTTACAGTAACTTTTGCAAAGCTGTCAGTATTTGTCCCAAGCCTCTATTTCTTCCAGATTCGGTGCCGCTGGAGAGGTAGGACATACTGTACTCTCTACTCTTTGCTAAGGAATAGGCTTTATCCTTCTATGGCATTCATAATTTCAGAAGAGTATCCTTTTCTTAAGCTAACTGGAACATTATGAACCATTTTTCAGTTCTCTGAGCATGAAGATTACATTTAGTTAGCGCGTAACTTAAAAAGCAAAACTACAAACAAAGCTATTGGTGAACAAACAGCCCAAGAGGCAGAAGGGGAGGGAGATCTTAAAACAGCTCAACTGCAACACTCCAGAAAACTATTGCCTTGATCCTCCCCTGTGCTGCTCTCTGGTAGCCCGAAGCAGGAAACCTCAGCTTGCTACAAATAGTAAAACTCCAGCAGAGAGACACAAGCTAACTCTTACTAATGAACTCAGTTTTAAGGTCACCCCAGAAGTTAATCATGTGAAGATCGTTAAGAGTAACAACAGACATGCATTCATTCTGCCCTCAGCAATTGAATTTACAGCCACATATTCTTCATACTCCAGCTAATCGCAGTTACAAAATAGTACCAAATAGATGTGTGTTGCCAGAGTATTTTTCCCGTTTACATTAATTATCAGATGGCAGTATGGCCTTCTGACACCCACTAATGCCTCCTTCAGCTCCACATGGTTCAAAAGATTATTAGATTAGACTGATCAGCTACTATACTGCAAGCAAGCCAGGATTTTCTGTCATGGAAAATTCATAGGTTATTTTTGGGTTTCTTTTTTCATTGGTCAAGCTGGAGAAAAAAGGAGGGTCCTCTACAGTACATGGCAAAACCAACTGGCAGCATTTCAAAACCCGTCTCTGCAGAGTCCACAGATGCAGAAGTGCTCCCTGTTTGCCAGTTGAGAGCCTTAAGGAGCTGTGTTTGCACAAGTGCTGAGGATAAAAGCAGCACATCAGTGAATCTGAGTAACTAAAGCTAAACAGGGTATTGTTCCTTCCTACCTTCCAAACTAGAGGACTATCTGGGGCGTGCATGAAGTTCATTTGCTGGCACTGTAGTTCTTAATAATTACGCCAGAATAAAACATCTACGGTTGTTGTTGCCAACTGTCATTTTTAATCATATTTTGAAGATGAAAAATAATGAAATTTCTGAACAAATTTTTTTGTAACTAAACTATTCAAAATCTCAGCCTTAGGATTCATATGATTAGGAGATAACATCATATTTATTAAATTAAAACTATTTCTGATGCTTCAGTGAAAACTTTACCATCTTTCTTAAAAATATCAGAAATGAAAAAAAACCCTTTAAAAATCCCGGGTTTAAACAATTTTATTTTTAATAGTTTGAGCTGGCAGCATGAACAGACATCTCTAAGCATTTAAACCATACATTGCAACTATGCTACAAAGTCATGAGTTTAAAAAAAGAAGTCTAAATATAAGATATATCCACGCACTTCTGCTGAAACAATGAAAATCTAACATTTTATTCATCTATTGCAAAACAATGCATAAAAGTGTTTATGATTTTATTAACTATAATTTCTATTTCCTTTTTACAAGTATCATAAAAACATTAATCTTACAAAACAGTGTTAGGTTAGTAACAACCCTTAGTGACCAAAAAATGATAGTTGAAAAAAATTACTAGTTGCTTTAAAATTAATGACCTAAAGTCCCATAAAGTGAAAAAGATATGATTATACAATTATCTTCCATCTACTAATTATAGGGAACAATTCTTACAACACAGAAAATACTGTAAGATGGATTATCTTTGTAAGGAGTCTCTCTGCTGAAACACGAATTCTGAGTATTCTTAAATTTAATGTATTTACATTTCCTTTGTGTTACCCATTTTAAGATGGCCCACAGTAAAGTGACAACTGTTTGCTCTCACAGCCTGCAGTACATGCTACAGTGTTCCCAAATTACAGCCCAAAGCGTTTCCAAACTTTACCGTTTCTCACACCACTTGTAAGTCATAACACTTGTTAGGACTTTGACAGCAGATTTCCACATGTTCAGCAAATGAAATACGTAAATGATAAACTATGATCTCTCAGATAAATCATCTTGTTGGTAAATCAGCTCTTTTACAAGGACAAAACCTGTCTCTGAAGGAGATCTCATAAGATAAACATTTTATTTCACGTAATATTTTTAATGAGACATTTTGTATTTTAAGTTAGCTACAAGTTTGCACCAAGGGGCTCATCCTCCTCCCCCAAAAACTGAGTAACTCTGCCACATTGTTTACTGTCACTTTACAGTGACAATTCATGAAAAATAACTCATATTTCCAAGTCTCCAATATTAATGCTCTTAAACATTAAACAATTATCTATACTTAAATACCTATTTTTAAATTTCTAAACATGACATAGAAATACTTATTGTGCTAGTAGTATCAATTAGCAAGTCAGTGCCATGCTCACCTTCCCAAGCTTTCCCACTATTGCTCGTTTGTCTCCCGCTGGGTGAGGAGTCCAGCAGGAAGCAGCACAACTGAAGTGACATCTTAATGAAGCACTTCTTAGTGCCCAGAGACCATATAGCACCCAATCACTCATCCCACATATGCCTATTTCCTTGAGGAGGACTGATATGCATTAATCCTATTGAGTTTAAATGCCTAGATCTTAATTTACTTAGTAAAAAGCAGAATGGTAGCTTAAACTATATGGCAGAAGAGTCTGTTCCACATATTTATCACCACCAAAAAAAATGAAATTTCAGGAGAGAAAGCATGCAGAAATTTTAGAGTGCAACAGAAATATGTGCTTCTATTATTATAGACAATTTCATAATTTCTGCTTTCCCCAAGGCAATCAGTCTATCAGACAGGACCAGTTTAAAAATCCCAGCGTGGCTGACCCAGCAGCTCTTTCACCACAGCATAAGAGCTGCCATTTTAGGGTGCAAACCACCTTATGAAAACGAACACAGCACACAGTGCCAGAAGTAGGGATTTGCTCTGGCATGACAAACAAGAAGTCTTGTGTTGCTGCCAAGCTTCTCTTGGGAAAAGCCTTGGTAGGACGTGACTAAACCACCTTGCCCATGGTGAAGAGACCAGTTGGGAGGTTTGAGTTTCAGGCCTCAAAGATTCTGGAAATTCTGAGGAGTGCACATATTAGTTTAATTATTTTTTTTAATCTCTGGTAACAGTAGAATAATGAAATCCCTTTGGAAAGATCAAGGATATATAAATGCCAATGATTAAGATGAACGAGATATCAGCTTTTAGACAAATTAGTCCAACAGGCCTTAAACTAGTGAAACAGTTATCTGTGTATGCAACCCTAAGCCTACAATAACTAACTCTTTTAAAACGAAGGAATTACTGATTTAAATTTACGTGCTATAACATTTTATAATTTGGGATGTGAAAAATATTCTGCCTTTGTACAATTAAGTATTCAGCCACAATTAAGTGCTTGATACAGGTGATGACAAGTAAAATGAAATATATCTTTATATTCAGTTATTTCTCATTGAATATATCCTACTACCTGGCTGATGCCAGCTACGTCACTGGTAAAAACCTCACTAGCTTCAATTAAATACATCTTGATTCTATACATCAAGCTTAGAAGGACTAGAAACATTGCAGAAGAAAAATAATCAGCTCAATGGAAAAGAATAATTTCATACTACTTTATATGATCCTAACTTTAGAATATGAAAAAACAGGATTTAGTTTCCCTTTGTTATAAGGGGATAAATTAGTGCAAAGAGGAACAGCAGGACGTGTGCAAACAAAATGGGAGAACGGGAGATGTGGAGTTAAAAAAGGGGCTTGATAAATCAGCAAACATTCCAAACTATAAAAAAATCTGGAAAAGAAAACCTATCAGGGAATACATGGTTTGAAATTCATGGTCCTGACTCTTACATAGAGATAAATCCTTTAAATTGCATTCAAGTAAATATAATCTTGCTGGTAACATACAGCCTAATATTTCAGATTTTCTACATGTCAGTGTTTTTAATCAGTCTATTCTACCACTGATTATTAATGAGATGAAAGGATGAATACACTAATTGAATGAAAGTGGGAAACACTGGATCCAGCATTTTTTTTTTTTGCTAGTGCCTATTATTATTAAGGAAACATCTGCCAAGAGAGCCCTGAAAATGGGTTGATAATCCTTTTCCCACCAAAAGCATGCATGTAGAAGCACACAATCTGCTTTATGCATAATTTATTTCTGAGGCTTAGCAATACCAGTCTCTCTGATGAGCTATTGTGAAGAACTACCTTTATCCTCCTTGGACACCTGGATGTAATAGCAGTAACCAAGTACACACCTCCGCATAAAAAGCTACAAATTCATCCAGTTACATTTAGAAGCACCAAAACAAATAATTATGTAAATAATAAAGCCATGACATACGTTTATCATTCCCTCCATGTGACCAGCTGAATCAAAGCTGAAATCCTATAATTAGTAATTTTATCACAAACATAATACACTGGAGAATAGAGAAGTCACCCTTACTGTTTCATTTTCAAGTCCTTTCTGAAAGATTTAGCCACAGAAAAAAAAAAACCACCTTAGTAAAGTAACCAATAATGCAGAACTGGTTGTGTCCATAACCTGGAATTCCTGATCCATCTTGAGCTGACTAACGTTAGTTGCTCTTTCCATTGTCAATGTTGTTTTGCACATCACACCACCATCACTAGTCAACTGTTTCCCTTTGCATGATGTCAAGGCTGCAATGAGCTAATAACACAACCTCTCCCACAGAAGGTCTTCAAACCTGCAGTTTAGGTTGAACTGCAATTGCAGTTGCTTGGCTCAGTATCTTTCCCCAGAACTACATATACAATTTATTGCTTCCTTATTATCTGGCACAGTACAGTGGAGCCTTTCCCAGTAATAATTATGTTTGTTTGGGTCAGATCCTGTTACTCACTGGTACTCCTGTTCTACATTTATTTAATCCATTTATGTAGACCTGGTGATTTTGGGAGTTTTTATGGCAACAGTTATCAGAGATATGAAGTATTTCACACATCATGGTGAATGCTAGGAAAGAATTTTATTTAAATAATTAGTGCAATAAGAAGAGTGGAACTAAACATTACACTCAGACTTAATGTGACGTGTTAAGTGTAAGGG